CTGCTGGGGTCGGGAAGAGAAACCCCTCGCTCCAGCCCCCTTTCCCTCTGCAATCTCCGCTCCGGCGTTTACGCTTCTTATTTTACTGCACCGGCATCCCTTGTCATCAAATTTATTTCACAGGGTGAATTAATGTCATTCATTCTGAGGTGATGGAGGCGCTGCCCTGCCCCTCACTTTGCTGAGCTCTTAATCCCCCTCTTTCCCAAAAAACTCCTCTCTCCTCACCCGGTGAAACCCCCCCGCACAGCTGCAAAGAAGGCAGATGCTGCCGATTCCTCGGGAAAGCCAAAGGGAACGTCGCTCTTGACAGTCTTCTCCAGTCCTTGCAGTTGTGTGGTTTCAGGGTGATGCAAATCAGTCCGACTTTGACCAAAATGCAACTATGTTAAAATTAGTGGTCACCAGATTCACTCTGAACAGCGAACGCCCTCACTGAGAAGTAAGAATATCCAAGTAGCTAGTGACCACACTGAAGTACGGTTCCCATAAGCCAGATTAGCCAGGCAATTAAGAAACCTTATACTTCATCTTTTTTTTTTTTTCTGTGCGCACTTACTCTCGTGTGAAAAGAGCATGAAAAAAATTAAGAAAAACATCATTTCCTTTGCTAAAAGGAAAAATAGATGTGAAAAATCAAATTATTTTCAACATCAGAAACAGCAGATAATAAATCATGCACTTGGAAGTGCTACCAATAATACTCTTCCCTTTGGTACCTAATCCTGTCCCGCGGTGCTGGAGACCCTCCCCTGGGAGCCACGGCTGCAGGGCTGCCCTCCAGGGTCCCCACTGGTGGGGACGCGTCCCCAGTGACCAGCGCTGGACTTTAAAGGCTGCTCCCTCTAGTGGCCTCATTCAATGAACTTGTCTGAAAGTTCAATCAAACTTAAAATTGCCCTCTGACCTAACACAGAGAAAGGAGCAAATTTGATTAGTGAATCAGGTTATATAATTTTAGATTCTGCTGATATAAAGTTTTTTTGTTTTGAGGTGAAAACCTGGTTCTTGGAGACCAGCATTCATGTCTGAGAAAGATCACCTGTTCAGACCCCTTTCCAGTCATTTGGGGTCACCTCTAGCCATGCTCTGGCTAGGAAGCCACTCTCTGCAGAAATACAGAGAACTGTTTGTTCACCAAAGTGCATCTCAGCTGCATCTTGGGAGGCAGCCGATGTCCTGCTCTAGGAGAAGTTGCTCCATGCTCTCGTCAGCTCAGAAACAAGGATCTCCAGACCTGCCAGACTGACCCAGGATGGTTATTTCATTAGCCCAGCAAAGGGTTTAAATCAGATGGCCGGCGAGAGAAACTGCTATCTTCCTCTCTTTTCCTGCCTCCCTTTGCTCGTGCCCCCCAAAAGTTGCCTGAATTTCCTTTCACAGTGAAGTACATAAAGGGGCTTATAAGAAAGATGGAGAAAGAGTTTTCACCAGGGCCTGTTCTGACAGGACAAGGGGCAATGGTTTTAAACTGAAATTGATTTAGATTGGGTATAAGGAAGACATTTTTTACGATGAGGGTGGTGAGACACTGGAACAGGTTGCCCAGAGATCCTGTGGATGCCCCGTCCCTGGAAGTGTTCAAAGTCAGGTTGGACAGGGCTTTGAGCAACCTGATCTAGTGGGAGATGTCCCTGCCCGTGGCAGGGGGGTTGGACTAGATGATCTTTGAAGGTCCCTTCCAACCGGAACCATTCTGTGGTTCTGAATCGGGGCTAACTACAAAGTGGGACCTACAAAAGAAATGATGGATGTACTCTGCTGGGAATTTTCCAGTCCCTCAGCACTTCTGCCAGCCTCTGTGTCCCACCACCTGAATCGTAAGGCTATGCCAGCCCGTGATGCAGTGCAGGGACTGAAATCTATAGCTCTCGGGCCAGCCAGTGGGACATGTCTGGGGTACTCTGACTTGCACGCTGCTTTTTGAGCTTTCCCAGGGATCGTTCTCAGGGATAAGAAACCCAGGGCGTCATTTGGGGCAGTATTTGCCTCATTTGTGCTGGGTCCCGCGTAGCTAGCACCCTGGCGCGGTTTTCACTGTGGTCACCGCAGTGATGTACCTGCACACCGGGACAGGGGCTGCGCCTGGGAAGAACCTGTGCAAATCCTGACCTCGGGACGGCTCCTCTACAGGTTGGTGCGATGCGTGGGGACAGTAGGATCGAGGTCTTGTGTGTAGAAACCAATGCCTACCTCAAGAAGGAAAGGGATTTGGTGGTGTTTGACGCATCTGCGGTAGCATGCTGCAAAAACAGGCTATTTACCGAACTTGCTCCGGCGGGATCTCTTCTTTTGGCATCGCTTTAGTTTGTGTTATTGCAAAGAAGCTATAAAAGTCAAGATCATTTAATTATTCCAGGTTTTAAAGAAATGTTGAGTCCAAGGGGCTGGAGCTTATAAGATTTTATTTATATGGCACACTTCAGTTCCCTGCACTTAAACACCACTTTTTACCTGCAAAGTAATAACAGCAGCTCTCTGGTGACCAGATGGCAAGCCTGCATGCTTAGCATATATCACATTTAATTTATTACAGCGTGCTACATTCCAGCAATTACTTGTAACTGCCAATAGCAACATGTATCTCACCTAAAGAAACATCAGAGTTTTGTGTTCTGTTTGGGGTTATGTTGTGCTTTACTCCCACTTCTGGTAGCACCTAATTTCAGACATATGGAAACAGTAATTTCACTTGAAACAGTGGTTTCAAATATGCAGTCGTCTGAAATGTCCAAGTCTGAAGGGTATTATTTAATTGCAGCTCAGTTGCTGCAGTTTTCTTTAAAGCACAAATATAAATTCTGCGACTGCTACTGGATTTCTTTTTTAACTTTTTAGAGTTTTTTAACTGCAATGTAACAACTATAACTGTATATCACAGCATCTGTATACCACTTTCTCCCACTTCAAACGTTTCAATGCCACATGTGCATTTCCAGACACAGAGTCAGGGCTTGCAGGGTTTTGCAGGACGGTGGGATCTCTGGATGCTGCTGGCAGCTCGGTCACTGCCGCCCATCCCCCAGGATGAGCAATTTGCAAAGCTCCAGGGAGGCCTCGGAGATGGTGGCTCACCCCAAATGGCACCAGAGCTGATCCGCCTGTGTTTCTGCTGAGCGTTACAGCGCCTGCGAGCCTTGTTTCAAGGCAGCAGCATGCAGAAGCTCATAATACTCAGGGGCTTACGGCCTCTTTTTAATAAATCACATGTGTTAATTTGGAGCAAAGGTGTATCTGTTTCAGTTCTCATTGAAAAGAAAAATCAAACTTTTTGCATTTCTTCTGCCCTCATCGTCATGAGTCATTCCTTAGATGCCTAGTTCAACTCTTGTGACAAAAATCCTCCCTCATCGCAACTTGCCATGATGTTGATCTTGAGGAGATTTATGATACCACAGAAAGCAAGCTGCCAAGCCTCTGGGTTCATTTCAAAGATCCAGAGCTCAGAAGTGGTGGAGAAATGAGAGATGCTGAATTGGCTCTGGGAGGCGCCTTTCATCTTTCTTCTGTAGTAGAGCGGCTCTGGGCTTCCCTTTGCGGTGGTGGGACGGGGGTGGTGGAGGGCATTGGGAGAGCGGTCTGCATGGCGGGGCTGCAGGGTGTCTCTGTGCTGAAGGCCACCATGGCGGTGGGAGCCGGCAGTGGTAATGTCACACGCCATGTGTGGCACTTGACAGCTCTACTGATGGGTAGAGTCACCTTGGCAACGACTTGGCGGGTCTCTGCCCTTCCTCTCTACCTGTCCCTGATGCTGCAAAACCACCAGGCATGGTTGTCCTCTGTTTTGGATGCATCTGAGTCCTCCACCCTGAAGCGGCCGTGAGCTGGAGCATCAAGAGCCCCGTGGGGGATTAGGAAGGCAAGGGCAGATCTGGACAGAACTGTAGACGAAAGAGGCTGAAGGCTTCATGGCACAGTACTGGGGTCAGGAACACTGCACTGATGCCCTGGGTTTGGTCTTAAAGGCTTTCTCGGTGGAAGTAAGCATGAGTTCACAGGTCAGCACGTACTCAGAGGGTTTGCCGAGCTGAGCTCCGTACTGGAGCAGCCTGGCTGTAGTCTGGCCTCATGCAAAGAAGAACCACCCTTTCAGCAGCCAGGAAAGCGATGACTTCTCTGCAAGGATCCAGGAACCAAACAAAACAACTGAGCCCCTCCTCGGTAGGGAACAAAGGAAAAGAGGCAGACGGTGGGCGCTCGCCTCCTCCCCCGGCATTCCCAGGCACTCACTGCGTCCTGTTCAGAAACCCACCCACAGGCTGGCACTGCTTTCGGGAGCTCTCACCGTTCTCACCTAGGGCCAAGCTGTCCACCGTAGTGGGGCCCATCCAGTATGGGTGAAGGAGAAGCGGGAAGGAGGAGGAAACCCCAGTGCAACCAACCCGGGTTTCCAGCAAGCTTCAAGCTTCTGCCAATTTGAGGGGTCGGATTTGCAACACTGTGAAGGGGACAAGAAACTCCTTCCCTGCCAGGGAATAATTTCAGATCAGCTGCACACAGAGGAGTCACTAAAGAGTTTCCCCATGCTTAATTTAGTGAATTAATTGTTTCACAGCAGCAGTTTGTTTAGCATAGGCAGAAACCTCTAAATGCAGACCTTATATCATCAGTGTTTTAAAAGAAAGGCTAAGGCCAAGTTTTAGCCTGGATCATACAAACGTGCTACAAATCCAGAGTATTTCCACTGTTTTCCAGGGTGTAACCCTTCAGCCACGTTATTGCAAGGGAAATCAGAACTGGATTCACCAGCCAAACATAATCTGATCTAAGTAAACAAGATGCAGAAATAAAC